ATATATATATATATATAGCAAAATGAGTATTTAAATGCAATTATTTTACTTATTTCAGGTCTAAACTAATGTAAAGATAAATATAACACACTAACAGGGCAATGCTATCACTGAAAGCTTAGCTATGTAGTGATTTTTAAAAGAATAGAATGTATTTTTCAATGTATACATTTTTTTAGTGTAGGAATAATATTGTAGACTATTTTAAAATTTCAGAATTTTAAAATAAACCACTAATAGCCATTGCCTCTATTACTATTTATTTATTTTTATTTTTGAAAGTTTCTTTATCTTTATTGTTGAAAATATTACAGATGTACCCTTTTTACCCCCATTGATCCCCTCCACCCTACATCCACCCCACCCCCATGCCTTCCCCAGACCAATGTCTGTGTCCATGGGTTATGCTTATAAATATCTAAGTTCCTTGATTAATCTCTCCCCACCCACTCCCCCACCTTCCCCCTGAGATCCCTCAGTCTGTTTCATTCTTCTGTGACTCTGGATCCATTTTGTTCATCAGTTTATTTTGTTTATTATATTCCACATATAAGTGAGATCATGTGGTACTTGTCGTCCTCTGACTGGTTTATTTCACTTAAAATATTGTAAATTGCGCTGCTATGAACATAGGGGTGCATAAGCTCTTTGTGATTGGTGTTTTGGATTTTTTAGGATATATTCCTAGAAGTGGCATCACTGGGTCAAAAGGCAGTTCAATTTTTAGTTTTTTGGGGAAACTCCATACTGCTTTCCATAGCGGCTGTATTATTTAAAGTGGTCTAATTTGTACAGAAAGAAAGGAGTCTTTAAAAATGATAATGTCTTAATTTTTGTTTCTCGGTACCTTCTTTAAACTTTTAGTATTTAATTCCTATGTTTTATATGTTAACATTTCAAAATGAATCATACCAGTCTTAGTCCAAAGAGGGCATAGTAATCAAATAAGACTCAGGTAGATCCAGGAGTGAGCCAAGCACATGGTAGGACCTGGAATTACCAGGATGGCATCTGCCAAGGGCAAGATGTAAGGCAGTTCAAAGATTATCCAGTGTGGGGGGGACCCATATGTACATAGAAAATCCTCAAACACTGCCCTCTGTGCTAAGCATTTTTCTGACATCACCAAAGTCTAGCCATCATAAAATACTCATATTATCCCAATGTTAAGAAGAAGAGAATGAGCTTAAGAAATTAAGTGCTGCCCAGCTGGCGTGGCTCAGTAGTTGAGCGTAGACCTATGAACCAGTAGATCACAGCCCGATTCCCGGTCAGGGCACGTGCCTGGGCTTGGGGCTCGATCCCCAGTAGCGGGCGTGCAGGAGGCAGCGGTCAATGACTCTTCTCATCACTGATGTTTCTCTCTCTCTCTCTCTCTCTCTCTGCCTTCCTCTCTGTGAAATCAATACAAACATATTAAAAAAAGAAAAACTGAGTGCTCAAATTTACTCAGTTTATAGTAAGTCGCAGAGCCAGCAAAACCCCCTGCTGTTTACCAGCGTGCAGGGAAGCTGGGCACACCCCTGGCGCTGCGGCGGTGCCACCCTGGACCTGTCTTGAAGGGAGTGGTGCGGCGCATGGTGCTAGCCAGAGCAGGCCGGCGGGGCTCTACCTGCTGGGACCGCCTGTGTCGCTGTGCCCTGGGAAAATCCCAGTCGTTGACCGTGACCCAAACCCTCCTACTCAGTGTGGACTTAAGGTGTAATAGTTATTTAATCCCTAATTTTGTGTACTGTCTCTGGTTTTCTTTCTGTCCATTGCTCGTCCGTTTCTGTGTCTTGCTGTCCTGTGCTGTCCTGTGTCCCGCTCAGTCCCTGGCGCAGAGGAACGGCAGTCTCAGCTGCTGCGTCTCCCTCCGCCCGCCCCCACCCGCTCCCGGGAGAGGAGAGATCAGGGTCCTTTTGCTGTGTCCTCGTCACTCTTGGATCTGGTGGAGTTTTCACACTATAACTATAAAAGATGACATTTCATCCTCTGAGAAAAACGCCTTGGTTATATCCCAGCTAAATGGATGGGTGGATTTTTCTCCATGACTTAATTTTTGTGACCCAGCTGGGGCACAACGTTCACTTTTATTAGCAGCTGTCTCTTTTCTTATCAGATATTCAGCTTTTAGCACCTCGCTCAAAAGAGGAAACAGATGGCTTGAAGTTATTAGTTAGACGTCACGGATCCTTCCCAACAATTTTTCTTAGGGAGAGAAACAAACAAATAACTCTGCCTAGGATCTTTCAAACAGAGCTGCAATATTTGCAACCTCTGTAAACAGGGCATCTGAAAAGAAGGCCCGTTTAGCTTTCGTCACACTAAGAAGCGCTGATAGGAGTGAAACTAGAAAAGAAGGTGCATGTATTTGTTTTCCCCCACAGGTTTGAAGGGTGACTTTAAGAGGGAAAATGCTGAGTGTTTCTTAAAACAAAATGGGAACTTTATTTCCCCCAGACGTTAGTTGCCAATCGGTAAGCATTTCAGGAGGAAATTGTGTACCACCTCATCTGTGTGACAAGTGACATTTAATGGCCGGGTGACAGGCACACTGGTGCACAAACCTGGGGGTTAAAATGACAGTTGATCAGTGGACCTTTTCTAGTATAAACACCAAGGCGACCATTTAAAATCAGTTACTGTCAACGAGTCAAACAATTTTTACTTGGATTTCTATGTTTCTGTAAAGATTCCACAGCTTTCTCTAGGGAACTTTCTGTTGTTTGGATGTTGAATGTCAAGGTCCTGACTCCTTTGGGAAGGCCTAGTTGAGTGGACTCTTGTTTACCTTTGAATTTGTACCTTGCAGACATGCAGATCATTCACGCCTCGTTCCTGTCTCTCCTTGCAGGTAGAAATAACACTTCAGGATATCAATGACAATCCACCGGTGTTTCCAACGGACATGCTGGATCTCACCGTGGAGGAGAACATTGGAGATGGCTCGAAGATCATGCAGCTCACAGCCATGGATGCAGACGAGGTAGCTCAGAGTCTGTGTCTGAATTTTCAAAACCTAGTGTTCTGGTGATCTATCCAATTTCTCCATATTTCCTCAACTTTTATTACCCAATAACTAAGGCTAAGCAGTGTGTGCTGTTTTCCAAAGAGAACGTTGATTGTTGACCTGAGTTGTAAGAATGCAAATATAGAGACTATCGAAAGGTAATTTTTCTTGGATCAGCAATTCGCAACTCCGTTTCTAGTTGCATTTTATATTAGCCAAATTCTTTTAATTCTTGATAATAAAAATATCCCCATTTTATGCTTTTATTATTCTAATTTGCTGTCTTACAGAAACTAAGGATTGATTTTTATTTGTAATATAAAAAAGCAAATTATCGCACTGGCTGGGTGGCTCAGTTGGTTGAAGCATTGTACCCTTACACCCAAAAGGTTGCAGGTCCGATTCCCAGTCAGGCCACATACTGGAGGCAACCGATGGATATTTCTATCACATCGATGTTTTTTTCTCTCTCTCCCTTCCTCTAACTCTAAAAATTAATAAAAATGTGTCCTCAAGTCAGGATTAAAAAAAAAAACACAGCAAATTATTTACAATTTAAAAATTTTAAGGCTATTTTATAATTTTTATTTAATTTACATAAAAACAATATATAATTCAATAATAGCCTTATATATTAAGGAAATTATCTAGTCACTCTAATGAATTTTTCAATTTTGTTATGGAGCAGAAATTTCTTGCCTAGTGGTGAATGTGAAATTTGAGGGCAAGATAAATTACTATCTTCTATATTTATATTTTAGTTTAGCTATGTAATCGTCATGCTCCAAATGTCACGGCAACTTATATAATTTGTAATTTATATTTTTCCCCATGAAGAAAGTCCGAGGCCCGACCAGGGATTGAACCCGAAACATAGGTACGTGCTCTGAGTGGGAATCGAATGAACCTGCAACCTTTTGGTGTATGGGATGACCCATGGGGTCAGAACGGACCTGGGCTCAGCAGCCTGGGTACTTGAGTTCTGGATAGGAAAGAATTCAGAGATAAGAGCCAAACTATAAGAGAACATTTATTTGGTAAATTACAGAGGTAGAAAAAGTAATTCCTAGAAGAAATGGGCTTAGGAAACAAGGTAAAGAGGCAAAAGAAGGGCCCTTGGAGCTTGGGAGTGAGGAAGCTAATAGTAACCTGCCAGAGGAGGCAGGTGAGGAGGAAGGGGAAGGGAAAGAGAATGCTCCCAGGAGGGAGATCATACTGGTTCCTTGGTCCTAAGGGTTTTAAGGATGGACATCTTAGGGGAGGTCCCAGGGGAAGATCTCAATAGAATATTCAGTAGCATTCCAGGTGTGTCCTTTCAGGGTCTAGGTCTCCACTGATTGATTGGCCAGCATCAGGACAGGGAGTTATTATCCAATGATGGGCAGCTGGTCCTGAGGTCAGCCTTGGTGTTGCTTGTATGATTTTTCTGCTTTTCTGGTCCTGGAGCTGAAATACAACCGAGGCCTAGATGGTATCTCTAGGAATGAAGGTGTGGGAGTCCAAACCACAGGACCAGTGATTTGCTAGTGGAGGAAAGGTCACCCTAGGGCGAATTTCCTCCCTAAAGCTGTCCTTTGCTGGGTGCCCAGGGCTTTGTGCCCTGGTGACCTTCTGCACCTGGCCCATCGTCCTAGCTCAGCTCATGTCTGTCTACCTACCACATCTTGGTCACTATGTAACTGGAATTCCCCAATCAGGATTTGTTTTTCCAATAACAATTTACTAACTATTAATGCCGTTGCACTCTTGCAAGGCAAAACCTCAACCCGGTGAGAAAACTTACAAATTGTAACTAACACATATTTATATCCTTCAGATGGTGATATTTAGAATACAATCCAGTTACCATATCTCAAATGAACCTAAAGGAAGTGAGACATGTCCTTGGGACTCATGGAGTGATTTTCCAGGGTTATATTTTGGACAGATAGAACATTTGCTATACATTTTATGAGCTGCAGTAGGAGGTTTCCAGTAATATTGTTTACTTCATGAACTCATAAATGTGTCAGTTCGTGTATATGTTGAAGAATAGGTAATTGAGTCCCTATAGGTAAGATCAGTTTTGATTGGGTCCAAACCATATCTGTTTGTCTGGGTCAAATGTTCCCACTTACTATAGCTGTCCGTTGGAACTGTAAAAGAGAGTCTTTTATTGATTTAATAGGAAGCAAGGAGTATTCCCAGGTCTGGATAATTTGATTGCTTAGTGCTGCCTGTCTAGCTGCAGCACCAGCTAAATGATTTCCTTTTGTTTCCATGGTGGCAGCATTAAATGTCCTGGAATTTTGATAATTGCCAATTGTTTCCGTTACTGTATGTCATCTAACAGTTCTGCAACCTGTTTTCCATTCTTTATGGGCTGCCCTGAGGAGCTTAAGAAGCCTTGCTGCTTCCACGACATTCCAAAGGCCTGAGCTACACCGAAGGCATAGCTGCCATCAGTGTACCTACTGGCTGTTTGATCTTTGGCCAGTTGACAAGCTTGAGTTAGAGCAATTAACTCAGCGTTTTGGGCAGATCTTTCAGGTAAATAAGTACCTTCAGTTGTGTCCACCATGGAAGTGATTGCATATCCGACTCAGTAATGCCCCTGTTCATCTTTCAGATAACATCCATCTGTAAACCAAATTAAGTCGGCATGATCGGGCGCAGAAAGCAAGAGTACGTCACAGGAAAGACGGGAGTGTTGAGTGTGATGAGGGCTCAGTGGAGGGTGAACAGAATGAGGAACATAAAGGAAGGAGAGCCCATGACTCTTCTGTTTGCATAACACCTCAGCAGCAGAGACGGCCCCATGCAGGGTGGGAGCCCTTTGGCTGCTAACTCTAATTACTCACCATAATATCCTATAGGTCTTTTTTTTCTTCTTTATTGAACTTATTAGGGTGGCATTGGTTAATAAAATTATATAGGTTTCAGGTGCACAATCCTATAATCCATGTATATTGTATTATGTGTTCCCCTCCCCGAGTCAAGTCTCCGTCCGTCCTCATTTATCCCCACTTATACCCTCTTCTACCTCCCCCGACCCCTTTTCCCCCTGGTGATCACCACACTGTTGTTGTCTGTGTCTATGAGGTTTTGGGGTTTTTTTTTGCTTAATCCCTTCCCCTTTTTCATGCAAACCCCTGCCCTCTGACAGATGATCTCCGTTTTTGAGTTAAAACTACCAAAGCATTTCCTTTATTTTCGTGTATAAAAGGCATTATAAATAAGGTATCCCAGAGCTGGATCTTTAAATATTTGTTTCTTTGGAGCTTTTACAACTTGTTTCCCTTCAGGGTTCCATTGGATTGGATCAGGTCGATCTGATTTTAATCAGATGTATAGAAGATGAACCATTAATGAAAAATCTGGAATCCAGTCGTGACATATCTAGTCAGATCCTGAATAAACTGTTTTTTTGTTTGGTCATTTGTTTTCAGAAGAGTAAAGGATATTATTCCTTTCAGTCTTTCAAGGGTTAATTGTAGCCCATCTTTAGATATTAGATAACCAAGGTATTTTACTGGGGGTAAACAGAGAAGCTTGTCCTCTGAGACCCCTAAGTTCCCTTTATGGCTAGCTGTTGTAAAAGGTAAATTGGGTCCATCCCCGTGGGAGTCTGATATGTCCTAGAGCATAAAAGTAAATCATCCACATATTGGATTAGAGCGGAATTTCTGGAAAATTCAATATCGTTCAGATCAACTTTTAATATCTGAGAGAAATAGGTGGAAATCTCATATATCCCTCAGACATAACTGTCCAAGTAAACTCCCCTCTTCCCAAGTGAAAACAAAGAGGTATTTACCGCCCCTCTCCCCAAAACACACAAAACCAACAACCAGGAATACTGAAAAAGGCAGTACATAAATCTATTACTGAAAAATATTGGCAGTCCGTAGGGATAGCTGATAACAGGGTATGTGGATTTGGAGCCCACCGGGTGTCTATGGATCATTGTTTTATTTATAGCTTTGCGATCCTGTGTAAGTCTCCGTCATTCCCGCTGGCTTTCTTTACTGGGAAGAGAATTATAGGTGCTCGTGCATGGAATTATAAACCGCCCTCTAAAGTAAACTTACATAATGGGCTTCATTCCAGCTTGTGCATCGGGTCTTAAGGATATTGGTGACTATTAGGTAGAGGCAAAATGCCGTCGATCGTTATTTTAATAGGAGTGACTGACTTAGTCTTGCCAGTATCTATGCTGGCAAAGGCCCCGAGTTGCACTGAAACATCCTGCAACGAACATTCAGTTGGTCTCAAGATTAGTTTCCTTCTGTTGAGTTTCCTTTAAAAATCATTATTCTCTCAACGGGTTCAGAATCTGATTTAGTTCTAAATACCGTTCACCCTTCTGGGAAAGGGATATGTGGGTGCCAGTGCTTTCCAGACAGTCTCACCCTACGTGGTGAATTGGGGCGGATTTGACTAGTGAAAATACCAGTTGCCCCGCTCATTCCCTGCTTGGAAGGAGCTGGCTCTGACTGGTTGATTAGATATTCCCACCCTCTGTACCGGAGCTTTACGCTGAGGGAGAGGGCAACTTAGCTGGGCGTGGTTAAGAACAGATAGAGTAGCCCCAGGCTCTAGGAGGGCCTTAGTAATTCCCCCTTTTATGGTAATTTCGATTTCTCTTACAGTGTTAGTAAGGAGAAGGGAAAATGCCCTCTCACCGTGCTTGGAGCAGCCCTAGCTCCAAGGACGTTTTCTACAATCCTCCTTAAGGTGAGTTGCCTTTTTAAAGTAAGAACAGGCTTCTCTCTCCCCTCCTCTAAGAGGCCTTTGGGGAGGGCTGACCTCACTGCTTAATTGCTGGAGCTGTAAGTTCATGATTTGAACAGCTTCATCTTTTTCTCTCTTTCAAATAGTTTTAGATAGATGATCAGCCAGAATCTCCAGCTCATTAGTACGCATGGTCGGCCAGTTTAATTTATGTTGTCTAATCAGAGTTTAAGCTCTTCATTTAGTCCTTCCCCAAATGCCAA